AGCTATAATAATGAAATAAATGAGCGATATATGGGTTTAGAAAGGCACTTTGAAGGAGAGCTTCGCATGAAAAATAATGTCATGGTGGGTGCAGATAGACGGTACATCGACGGTTCCGACACGCTTAATTCCATTATCCTCGTTATCCCCAAAAGCGCGGTCAAGCATAACACAATCTAACATCTTAATAATACAACCCGGTACGAACCACCTTCCAGTTCATTACCCATTCCTGTCTAAGGGTGAAAGCGAATCGAGGATAACGAACCTCTTGGAGCTTGTCGATTGGTGGCGGGTTGCACGCCGAGGATCAATTGAAGAATCGTTCGGGCTAATTAATTGGAGAATAATCTGAGGAGAGCTTAATACACAGATATACTCGTCTATGCACGGTGATGACTCTTGACGAGAAAAGCATGAAGTCAAGAGAAAGAAACGTGAGGGGGATCCTCGTTGTATGAACGAACTGTATAAAGTGGAGCCAAATCGATAATAGGTATTAAGAATGTGTATGTATGTGTGCGTATATATATATATATATATATATATATATATATATATATTGATAAAATAAAATAATCGCCCCAATTCAAGCTTTATCATTGAGATAAAAAGTTATAAGAAAATACTCTATTTACATATTTTCTCGTTCTACATTTGGTCAATGATATTATCATTTCTTGTTTCGTGGACAATATTCGATCCGTAATGAGACCCGTATTTGCTAATATAAGTTTGAAAATACATTGTAATACATAAGAAATACGTTTGACATGTACAATATATGTGACTTTCGTCTATATAGCTGGGAATTTCCGACGACCGGGAGGACGAAAAAAATGGCCTGTATCCCTGCTAGGAATCGAAATGCGTTTTCTTATCAGGCATCTCTTCCTCATACGATTTCCGTAGAAATACCGATCGGCAAAAGCCAATATCCTTACGTTTCACCGGGGAGACTCACGAGCCGCGTCCGGCATCGCGGAATAGTATCGGTAAATCGAGGAATTCTCCGTTTAAGAGATACGAGCCGGCTGTACGTCGGGCAAGCGACCAAAGAACAATAACGCCGAGGAGAATTTTTACTTCCGGCCGGATGCATGCCACCGGCTACGGTGCCGGTGAATTTACATTTTCGTTGGCTGCGCATCGAATCATGCGTTCTCTTCCTTTTTCTTCGTTTTCTTTTTTCGCCGCGGCGTTTGCGAACAAACGCGCGCACGCGGTCCCGCGATTTGCCTGTATTGAAGCGTAAAAAACCGACGGTCGTGTGTGCGCATGACCAATACGCGCGCGACTGGTCGACGAAATTCCAAATAAACCGTCGGTGGAATCCTGATGAGATACGTGTGAGAAAAACAGATATTCCCTACAGTTATTAAGATACGCAGACCACCGTGTTTCATTCATACGGGTGATGACAAGCAATGTGAGCTTTTTTTGCGCGATTACGCGCGATACAAAAATGTGGAATGCGAGTTAAATCAGAATTATGTTTTCGCGGATAACAGATAATCGATACAACGGCGAAATACGAACCGTGACTTGTATAAATTCTGAATAAAAGTTTGTTGGATATAACTATAGACACCAATTGCTACAACAATTGCAATGTTATTATTAATTTATGTTAATTTTATAAAACACATACTAAAATTACAACTCGTGATGACGTGAATTTATATTTATATATAATCTTAAAATATTAACATGATAGAAGTATTAATTAAGACTTAAAAAAAGAAATAAAATTTTTAAAGAAATTCAAAGAAATGCATTGATTTAATAGTCTCTATTAAACTGTAATTTAGAAGCGTTGAAATTAATAATAGCAGCTGTTAAATTAAATTTTTATTTACGACGTTACGGTATACTAGCCTTTTCTGATGTACAGCAATGAGTATAACTTTAAGGAACAAAAGGAAATTTCTTGACGAAGTATGATATTGTATCGATGTGCAATAAAGAAAAAAGTTGGAATTTTAATATCTTGACTAAACGGTTATTTTTCCTGGCCGGTGTGTCTTGATTCGTGAGAATGAACGATTGATCTTTACGATGCCGGCGAAGAAGGAAGCTATGAAAATCTCATTGCAGCATCGATAAGGATTAAATATCGTGAATTTTTCTTCGATAATACGCGGGAGCTCACCTCGACGGGCGATCCGGAAGACCAGAAAAATGTAGAAATACGTTAAACGCGATAAAATTTTTTCGCGCGTAAATGTACCCGTTAACGACGTCAAGCGCAACTTCAGAGAGATTGCGAAATAATTCGGATTCCCTGGCAATGAATGCAAAATTATATCAAACGAAGTTCAAAGCGATATAAAATATCCCGCCTTGTTCCGTCCCGGTGTGTCCGGAAATAAAAAAAGATCTTTGTAATTTATACGCTCATTTCAATTTAGATTGAAATTAGGATTTTTATTTTGTTTCTCGAAAAATTTGCAAAATTAATATAAAATTAAATTCCTCTCTCCCTCTCTCCCTCTATATATATATATATATATATATATATATATATATATACCTATATATATTGCTATTACGTTTGTTGTAGCATTTACGATCGATTGTTCTCTTGTTAGTAGTAATAGTAAATCGCGAAATCACTGATTTTGTAAAGCATGCGATCACCAGCAGTAGCTGATTGACGTAGCTCCGCAACAATTACTTTTCATTGGATATACGTGTGAACCTGAATACGGTAAGCGGTGGACAGAACGATCGTATAGGATAATATAACACGCCGATCTCGGTGAACAGCTAGGAGGGTTCGTTTAAGTGCGTGTTTAGCGGTTGCGATTCCCAATGGCCTTTTCCATGGGACACTAAAGGGCACTAAGGGGCAGTATAAGGCTCGTAAGGAGGAGTGGTAGTAGTGAGAGAGGTAAACCGTTGCACGTACTCAGACCACAATATAAAATCACTTCGCGCAAGCGCCCGAAAAAGTATTGTCCGAAGTTCGATCTTCGACATGTTTCAATACGGAAATTTTCACACAAGTTGTGAAATATAAAATTTAAAAATACGCATACAATGCATACAATTAATAATACCAATAACTTGATTGATGAATCTTGTATTAAAAAGTCAAAGATAATTTCTTTGCTCTAGTTCAGAATACAAACTTTATTTAATGAATTATGTCATCATTAAAATGACACGCGGAAGCAAATTTTAATTGTTTAGATATTACATTAAAAGTGAGTGAAAAAGTTAGTAGTTAGCTTACGAAATGATAGGAAAATATATAGAGCTTAATCGGGGTTAACGCGAGATGTATACAAATAAATTTTGAACGATCGGGGCGATAATTTAAGTAGAAAACAAAGTTGATTATCTTACTTTTAATGAATAACAGATAACTCGAGGAAATAAAATTAAAACATCTTACGTTAATAATTATATTAAATTTATTACGATGAGATAAAAACAATTTTTAAAAAGCGCGAGTAAAAAGAAAACGAGATGCATCTTAAACACACTGAGAGAACGCTTCGCTGGTACGATCGAATTCTTCAATTTGAGACTCGGGGAAACGAGATGACGACTATTCGAGTGGTGCGACATATAGTGTGAGACGAGCTGGCGCGGATCCAGAAAGTGCCAATTCAATCTTACTTCCCTTTCCGGATGTAAAATTTCAGATAGCCGCGCCGAACTTCCGACTTCCGTTACTCGTTCTGGCTACTGTAGCGTTGCGAGTGTATGTTTCTGGTTCATTCGCGAATACGAACGACATTGTAATAACTCGGCTGTCGAATTGTTTAATAGCCTGGCGTTTCTTCGTTTCTTTATACACCTTTTAGATCACCTTGAAATCTTCGGCGAAAAATGCGAAAAAACGTTGCAAATTAGTAGAAAATTCATTCAATTTCTTCATTCTTTCGTAACAGTGGAAACGATAATAAAAGATAAAATGCATAATAAGAATAATATTACCGCGTTCATTAATGATGAAATAGTTTTAATTAATCGTGAGGCGAAGAATATACGAAAAGCTGACATGAAGTAATCTAAATTATCAGATTTCTTGACTGAGAAATGACCAATTATGATATATATTTATTGACGAAATTTTTTGACTAAAAAATGACTAATTGTTATATATTTATTGACGATAATGAAACTTTAATTAATTGCAATACAAGGAAAAAAATGATACCAAGTAGTAATTTAGACAGTGAAATACTTGAAATTTCAGAACAAGTATCTGAATTTTTTAACGTTATTCCCAATTAATTCCGATCATTCCAATCATTATCATTATAAATTATTATTGGTTTAACAGTTGATACTTAACGATTACCAATTCTATTTGCCCATTCGTTGCTCGAAGCACAAAGATATATTAAATGTAATACTCGATACCTATATATATTCATAGTGCCATTAATTTATTCCGCGTACGATAGCAGCTGAGTGAGATGAGTGCGCCAGATGAGAAAATTATTCAAGATCCTCGAAGATATGTATTTCTCTTCGCCCTCGATTTTTCTCTAGCATCCCGCGCTTCGAATTTAATGAGGTCCTTTATTGATGAATGACATTTATCAAAAGTATCTCAGTATCATCGGGACCACGTGATCTAACGATATCACGTACTCATAACTCTCTGCTAACTTGGTTTTTCAGCGGAGATTGAATTTAGAAAATTACGAAACGAAAAGTAAAAGGATACCGCCGGTCTTTAAAATTTTAATTAAAAGTCGACTGAACAAAATATTGATGTTTAATATTTATCCTAAAACTGTACTGCCCGCTCGTTTTAATAAAATTGATTAAATTTTTAATCTTCGATATTAATGTATACAAGTATACGCGCGTAGATTATTGATTTATTAACTCTTACTAGTTGCTCAGCAAGTAAATAATATTTTTGTCCAATTAATATTACAATCCGCGAACGCAGTTAAATTAATGAAAGTAATAAACACACGTTAAATATAAATGAATTACGGTATAACAATGCAACGTATTATTTATTCACCCACCTTAAATGAGCCAAGATCTTTCACGCTGCATGCCAGTTTGACATTCCGTCCTGCTGGTACTGTAATGTTTCCTATTTCGTCGACGAACTCGGGATCAGGGATGGTGGTAACTGCAAAAAGAAATAAAATCATAGAAGTATACATTAGTATGTAGAATATAATTCTCTAATAATTGAGGTTTAAAATATTATATAGCTAAAATTACGAGAACATTTCTAAACTCCGGCATACAATAATTAAGTAAACTCTGTATATATTTAATTATTTCACAAGTAATAAAACGTAATTATATTCGTAAATGCTTAAATCATATTTCATACTCGCGGTATACTGCTTTACAGCATGTTGTTTGTACAGAGACAGACCGTTATATCATATGAAATTTTAATTAAATTTTAATACAGTTGAAACGCGGTATGTAACGTGCCACAATGCGACAGAATCTTGCGCTAAATTTACCTGACAAATATGAGACAGTTTCGGGATCTGTCAGACATCGTCGGGCTTCGGGAAGACGGGCAAACTCGATCGACAAAATCCGATACAAAGTTCGACGGCGGAATTTTTTGAAATCACAACGTCAGTGAGTTTCCACGAGTACGCCAGGGGGGAGGGAGGGAGCATATACCATCCGTACATCCCCTCTCCCTTCCCCGATGTTGCTTCACATCGGGAAAAAGGGGGATCGATCGATCTAGGGGCGGTGGTACGCGTGGCTGCGTGGATGCGCTTTGAGTTATAGAAGCTCACCAGTCGGCGTGACAGCTTAGTTATTGAATACAAAATGCAATTTTTCAAGTCTCTACGTACCGCGGTATCCCGCACCAGCGCACCAGTCTCCGACTACCGTCTCGGGGAGACGTGGTTGAGGTCCTTCGCGTGTGCGGTGATCGAATCTACGAGAGGATTTCGAGATGCTTATATGGAGATCGAGCTCCCACACCCATCTGTCCCGACGCTCGCGATCGCATTTCTCCATCGTGCGTGATGTTACTTCATGCGTGAGGCTCGCATTTGCGTAAGAGCGCCGACGCGTGGAACACGAATTTGGAACCGATTATGCAAAAACGAGTTTATATCACTTTATTACTTTATTTTTATATACTAATGACAAATTAGATGTACAACTTATATATTACTTATTATTTTATTATTTTAGGATGCGCGTTACTTTGTTCATACTTATATATATATATATTTTTTTTTGTCGGAATGTTTTAAGTTTATCGCTGTAATCTTACACAAGTGTTGCACTTTAAACATATCCGAGCGTTAAAAATTGATTTCATACGCGTTCGGATATTATTGATTTTAAGAAAATTAATAAGAACACGTGGAAAGAAAAACAGAATAAGAGAAAGTTAAAAATCTGTAAAGTGCCTACTTTAAGTAATTTCTGCAGTAATACTACTTTAAACTTCAAATCCGATTTTACTGATAACGTATATCGTGTTGCATTCACTGCTACAATTATGTGCGAATAAGAGAGGAGTATAAAAGAAAGAAATTACACATTATATTCCGGAAATAAATTTATTAAGATGAAAAATAATACAGCAAAAAAAGAAAATATAATGAAGTATTACAGTATTAAATAGAAAGAAACATGAAAGGAGAGAGTACGCGGTGAGAACCAAGAAATTACATGTGCCAAGTGAAAAGAAAAAAGAAAAGGTGAACGAAAGAAAAGGATGTAAGAAGGAGAAAAAGGGATTTATGTATGATTAATATATCATTCTTTTAATGACCCATTTTATAAATTCTTTTTTCTAACGAAACACAGTTTGGGTGAGGCAGATTTCAGCATTCGCGCGTGTGTGCGTGTGATGACTTTTAAGGATGAATCGAAGTGACTCGCACTTGCCGAGTAACCAAAGTGTACGCTGCTAGAAAATTCTCTTTGGTCTGCTGCCATCGACTTTACTATCTACGGATCCTGGCGGCTGTGCGGTGACACGCGTATGTGGTTTCCGACTGTGGAGAGAAACCGCATTCGCCGAACTCGCTGCTGAACCTTTCTACCTATGTCGTCTGCAATTGCGTTGCACGAAATGGACCGTCTAGTGGGTCCGAGAGACTCCTTAAAATCAAAAGTTTCTTGTCAGACCGTCGCTCGGTTGCTCAGACGTGACGTCGATATTGTATATGTATACCTGAATCTGCAATTTTTAAGTAACGTGCGCGGACTTTTGCGAGGGCAGCGCGATTGCAGGCTTGACACCAAGATTTTTCCAGTCACTCCACACGCATTCACCCTTCATTTAACATATGTAATTACCGTCGATGCTTGTAATGATTACGTTTATGTTAGATAATCGTCATTTATTATGAGAACATTATCGTGACGTATACCGTTTTGTCGATTCGCAGTTTCCCCACGATAACTCGACAACGAATAGCGTGAGCTTAAACAGAGAGAGAATTGCTTTGTCATTCGCATCGACTCCACGGATAGTGTTCTCCTTTTGTCCGGAGTCTTGTCATCTATCAAACTCTTAATTCCGCAGCGCGATAATTGATACGGCATCGAGGCGTCGAACGTCGCTCAAATGAGGCTGCGTCGCTGTAATGAGTTCGACGAGTGACGCGGTCGGCACACAGGCCGCGAAAAAGACTATTTTTTGCGGCCCCTCGCAAATGCGAGGGGTACGACACAGTGGGGATAAGAAGCTAAGAGACCAGCAACTTTCGCCGTATTATTTGCGAAAACTTTAACCACGACGTGTAATTGGAACGGACTCCTCGCTTGCGCCGCGAGAACCTAAAGGAGAGTAACTTACAGAGCGGCACAAAAGCGTGCTTATACACATGTATACACACATACATGGGCGTCGCCAGGAGGTTTTCATGTGACGCGGAGGTGATTAAAGAGCGGGAGATCTCTTCATTACGGGTCGAGTGCCCGCGCGAATTTTAATTAATATCTGCGCGCGGCAGTCATGTCTCCAGTCACGCGCGCTTCAATACTCGCACCACGCACCGATCCTAAGAAATTCGACCTGGTAATAATCGCTTTGATCCACTAATTATGTAATCTGACGTAAGAATCTTCTATATATATATGTATATACTAGATTTTTATTTTTTCCTTCATAATCATTTTTATATCATAAAATTTATCAAATGCTTTCAGCTTTGTAGAACCTCCTCTTTATAGAAATTGTGCAAAAATTATTTTACAGAAATTAATAAAAATTTATTTTTTTTTACATAATATAATTACTATTTTTTAATTATATTGAAATATAATAATAAATGTTAAATGCAAGTTGATTGGGAGATATTTATTTAATTTCTATCAACAATCAGCAACTAATAATATAGATTTTAATATAGTTTTTGATATGAATTTCCACAACGAAAAATAATATAACTTGTTAACAGAGAAAAGGACAGCATTTTCATATATAAATTTTAATTAAACGATGTGTTACATATTATGCTCATTCTACTGTATCAAAGAGTCATATGATTAAAAAAAGTGTAATATATGTAATAACGCATTTACTTTAAAATATAATGCAGGAGATAAATTTTTTCTTTAATATAATACATTATATGTAATTACTAAAGTGAAGCTTGCAAAGTGAAATTATAGCAAGGAGAATCAGTCAATTCTCTTAAGAGATAGGTTAGCAGAAGTGAGGGAGATCACAGGAAAAAAGGAGTCTTAAGGTTTTTGTATCCGCGACACCACGAGAAATTGCTGACTGGCCAACCCTATCATTAGACGTTGATTTATTATTTCCGGAAAGAGTAATGGAATTGTGCTTCTCTCTAGAATTATATAACTCTTATCTTACAACGCATGATCTTCACGGCTAAAAGTCTAGGCCGTTTTTTAGAATAAGGGAAGGAAGGACTTGAAGGAATTTGCATAAGAAAGAGTAACTCTTGACACTCGCGTGACGGAACTTCTACAGGATGTATGAAGCAATTTAAAGCGTTTTCACCACAAATCAAATTTCTAACGTAAATCAATCCGTGTAATATCAAATTTAAACGAGATATTAGTTTTAGTTTATCATATATTAATTTATATCGTTCAAATCTTTTTTTTACGAATACCTCCAATGTCTTTATCGTCGCTATTGTTATACGGTAATTTTGTTGCTAAAATTTCCGATTCTCGCACATGTAGCGAGCGGTAATCTGGATAATATCGAGGAATTCACTTGAGTACCGGTAATGTCGAATAAATCTCAAAGACCGTACTTATCTCAAGAGTGTCTCGCGGTGACTTGTATAAGAGGGCACCGTGAAAGTCTACCTTATACTCTACCGCAACAACCGTGCACGAAGCTCCGAGCAAAGGGTCTCGTGAAGAAGTGCCAGGAGCAACAGTTTATGTCAATTTTCCGCTTCATGTAGTGCCGCACTCTTCGCGAAAAAGCAAGCCGGCGCGACGCAGCGGCAGTAGGGAGCATACCGTTGTGTAAAAATATTGCTGTTCTAGACGCGAAAGACGATACGTAATTTAGTACGAGGGGGATGATTTTTGCACGAGACCTCGTGTTGATGTACTACGCGTAACTTTACTTATAATGGCAATTTCCCTCAACCCCCTACGATCATCGTTGCAATGATATGAATTGATATTGTCGTCTTATGCTATCAGAAACAGCTGCAGGATACAAACTTAAGGTTATATTTTTCCCTATAAAATATTGCAATGTTTATAATACAAATATATACCCACGTATGTATATAAATTAAAAATCACGATGTAGCAACAAGTCTGACGAATCGATCTATGCACAAAACGAACAATAGTTCGGATTATATCCAATGTAAAACGAGGTAAAAGTATAAAACAGAGTATTTTCGAACTCGGTGCCGAAGAATAGTTTAATAAAAAACAGAATAGAAAAGTAGAAAATAGCTAGCGATTATATCAATAGCTTGAATTGAATAGTCACAGGACCATTACACACGGTTAAAAACTAATGAGCGTTGACGGATTAAACTTCGTAGTTTTAATTGCATAAGGTGTACACTTTTCATCTACGGAAATAAAAAATAAAATCTAAGTAGCTTTTGACACAAAAAGTTAAAAATAGTTTCGAAAGCGTAAAAAATAAATACCTAATAGAGAATTACTTGTTTTTTT